TCTCTCATGTCTCCACTCCAGTAGCAGGCTCGCTTAGCACTCTTTTTTGTTTGTGTGTATGTTTCTGGCTTCTGTTCCTCTCTGCTCTCGCTCGTCTTTCCCAGACCCATCTTAGCTCCACACATCACAATCTACCCCCTCCTTCCTGCCTACCTGCACTGTGTGCTGAAGATCACACTCCCAAGCAGCACAGGCATGGCCTACTGGAATCTGCCCTGCTCTGATTCCCTATCCCAGCAACTCCCCTTCAGCTGCACCTGCCCTGCTGTACCATACCTGAGTGACTGACCCCGCCCATTGGAGAAGGAGGTAAAAAGTATCGTGCCCACAGACAAGCAAACAACAAAGTACGCATGGCCCGCCTGCTCAGACATAACCAAATAAAAAAGCAGGACGAAACAAATCTACAGTCAGTAAATGAGGAAAATAACCACTGAGTGCCCCGAAGACAGCAGACAATATCAAAACTTTTACACAAATAGGACAGGATGGTTCCAGTAGGCATCCAAAATAAAACACCAGATGACCTTCCAGTAGAAGAAAAGGCACTAGACCTAGCTGATAGGGGATTTAAATCTCTAATATTCAGAATTATCCAAGAGTTGAAGCAAAAAACAGTCAAAAATGAGGAAAAAATAGACAAATTCGTGGAAAATACAGACAAAAAAATGGAAGAATTCAAGAAAATAATATAGGAACAAAATGCTAAAATAAATTCACAACTAGAAATCATACAAAAACAACAATTAGAAATCTGAAATATAAACAACAAGATTTCAGTAATGGACAGTGTCATAGAAGGACTGAGGAGGAGGTTTGAAACGATGGCAGACAGGATCAGAGAAACTGAAGACAAACACTTGGATACAACTCTGTTTGAGGAAAAATCAGGAAAATGAACGAAGAAAAATGAAGAAACTCTGAGAATTATGTGGGATACACTCAGAAGCAAAAATCTGCGAGTGATCAGAGTTCCAGAACGGGGAGAAAACAGAAAACACAGAGAGGATCATTGAAGAACTGCTGACAGAAAACTTCACCAATATCATGAAAGATGAAAAGCTGACCATCCAAGAAGCTCAGCAAACCCCATATGGGATAGACCCCAAAAGAAAATCACCAAGGCATATCATAATCACACTATCTAAAACCAAAGACAAACAAAGAATCTGGAGAGCAGCTCGAGAAAAACAAAAAGTCACATACAGAGGAGAAACAATAAGACTAAGCTCGGATTATTCAGCAGAAACCATGCTGGCAAGAAGGCAATGGGATGACATATATAAAACCTTGAAAGAAAAAAACTGCCAGCCAAGAATAATATATCCTGCAAAACTCTCCTTCAAATATGATGGTGAAATTAGGTCATTTCCAGATAAACAGAAATTAAGGGACTATGTGAAAACCAAACCAAACTTACAAGACTTATTAAACGAAGTCCTTCAATCTGAGAACAAACAATATCAGACCACAGGCTAAATATAGGACACAGGATTGTACTAGCCAGGTACCAACCAAGGAAGTGAACTCTTAAGGACTGTGCAAAACCAAAAGAATTACAAAAGGGAACCAGAGAGGTTAATCTGTAAATGGCAACAGCATCAGAACAGTAAAAGAGGGAATAAACAGTGTAGGTATAAAACCTTCTCATGGAGAGGAAGTCAAGCGATACCAAGTAATAAAAGACTGGTTCAAATCTAGGAAGATAAGGGTAAATTTCAAGGTAACCACAAAGCAAGTTAACAAACCTACTCATCAAAGAATAAAAACATAAAGTCTCAGTAAAAACAAAGCCTACAAAAACAAAAGAAATGAAAAAAAAAAGTCCACAAAAGGAACTCAGCACAGGAGAGTAAGAGGAACAAAGAAAACGTCAGCACCGCAAAAAAAAAAAAGCACCACAAAATGCAATCCCACTCCTAGGAATATATCCTAGAGAAATAAGAGCCATCACACTAATAGACATATGTACACCCATATTCACTGAAGCACTGTTCACAATAGCAAAAAGATGGAAACAACCTAGATGCCAATCAACAGATGAATGCATAAACAAACTATGGTACACACACATAATGGAGTATTATACAAAGATGAAAACTGATGAATCTGTGAAGCATCTCATAACATGGATGAAGCTGGAGGACATTATGCTGAGTGAAATAAGTCAATCACAAAAGGACAAAATTGTATGAGACCTCTACTGTATAACTCATGTAAAAGTTTACACACAAAAAGAAACAATCTTTGTTGGTTACGAGGGATGGGAGGGGTGGGGAGGGGACTAAATAGATAAGTGGTAACTTTGGTGAAGGGTAAGATGGTACACATTACTGGGGAAGCCAGCACAGCTTGTACAAGGAAAGGTCATGGAAGCTCCATAGATGCTTCCAAAGTCCCTGAGGGACTAAATTGCTGGGTGGAGGGCTGTGGGGACCATGGTCTCAGGGAACATCTGGCTCAATTGGCATAACATAGTTTATAAAGAAAATGTTCTACATTCTACCTTGGTGAGTAGCATCTGGGGTCTTAAAAGCCTGTGAGCAGCCATCTAAGAT